CATTTTAGATTAAACTGTTTCGCTAGGAGCAAATTTTGTTGAATTTTCTATTGGATTTGGCAATTCTATCCCCCACATAAACAAGCAGTGATGTCATAGTGAAATAGGGCAATTTGGAGGACATAACAGTAGGTTTCCAATTCTCAGGAGATTGAAATTCTTTTGTTTTGTTTTCCAAATTGAGCTGCATTAAATGTACTAATGCAATAAAATGTACTAGCTGACATTATTCATTTTGGAAAAATTCACTTTTATTTTGAAAAACCTAAGAAAATCAAATTGAGTTTTTCCTGTTTGTAAAAAAAAGAAAAGAAATAAAGAACATGGTGATACAAAATACAAAAAACTAAAACAATGAATGAAAGAATTTTTAAAAGGGGAAAATATGTTCTTTGGAAAAAGTGCATAATATAGGGTTTGTGCTCCGGAGTATATTAATTCAAGGATCAAATTTTGAATTTTCAAGGACATTCAAAACATTTGCCAAAAGATTTATTTGTTATATATTGTATCATAAATTCAAGGACAATTCAAGGACTTTAAGGATCTGCAGGAACCGTGTATATATATACATTAGCATACATTAATTTTCCTAGTAAATTATAGTACAGGATGTAAAGAAAGGAGAAAAGAAATATTTTACCTCCTTAAGAAAAAATCTTGTAATGAATTTTCCAATGAAAGTTTGAGTTGAGTAATCCTGAAGAAAAATTAATACACTGACAGTTAATATTCAATCAGGCCCTTTGGGTTGCTATATTTAATTGCCTGGTCATGYTATTCCATTATTGTGCTACTGATATACCAAAATTGTTTGCTAACTTGTTGATCCAAAGTTTCATTCCCTCGATTATGAGAATAGCAAGAAAATTGGTGTTAATGAACCGAACAAAAGAAAGTGTATAAGGGACTCTTGGTCTGGAAGTACATTTTTAAGCACATTTTTCAATCAACATTGAAGGGCACTCATTAATTAATCTTAGAATTTTATAAAGGACCCATGGATTTATTACTTGATCAATCTGGACGATCTAACATTTTATAACTGGGTGTTGCCGCCAGTTTTCCTATAGGTCCCAGTAGCATCATTATTATATAAACAGCTGTCTTTATACATTTCATAATGTTCATTAAAAAAATTATGTTCTACGAACATCACTCACTATGAAGATTTTTCCACACACACATACACACTGATTTAATTTGATCACATGTTGATTTTTTTAATGGAGGATAGGAAAACTGGACTACCCAGAGAGAAAAAACCTGTAGCAAGGGAGGGAACTACACATCAAACTAACTCCTCTCACTAATGTGACCCCAGGCAAAAACTATACACAGGGGTGAGGGCTGGACAGGCCGTAACAGCATATGCTACCCATGCCTACCAAGGTGTTCAACATTCATAGTTATAAATATTTCATTTAAAGTAAAGCAAACATACCTTGAAAGACTTCATAAGAGCATTACTAACAGCTCTGTTCATGTCTTCGAGACCTGAAAACACTTGAGCAAATGGCCCAGCTTGTTTTAGAAAGAATTCTATAAAAAAAAGAAATGCCTCCATTATTTTAATATGATGATGATGATGAATGATAAGAAGTAAAGCAGTAAACTATTGAATTGATAAATGAATGAATGAATTGATGAAGAAATAAATGAACAAATGAACAAATGAACCAACGAACAAGTGAATGAATGAATGAATTGATGAAGAAATAAATGAACAAATGAACAAATGAACCAACGAACAAGTGAATGAATGAATGAATAACACAGTTAACATGCGATAAAACTTTATCCATACCACATAGTTCTGAAGTATCCAAGTTGCTGTTTAAAATGGAAAAAGAAATTTTAATAGTAGGTTAGCTGCTAGAGTCTCCACATTAGTAATGATTAATGAATTAATAATTTATCTGATTACTACATGTCAGATGCCTATATGTGAAACTATATGTAGCAGTTGCAAAAACTTGTATGTATTATACACATATACTTATTAAATAAACTTGACATACAATACTATTATCATTACCACCATCACTACACTACTGTATACAGTCAATTCAAARAATGTTGTCGTCGACCAACTCAAGCCTACGCGACTGGACYGAAAGGAACTCTGGGTAGTAATCATTGAAGCCCAGTTGACTCCATAATTTTATCTGACTAGTTATGCCTGGTATACAGCACGAACCTTCGTAGGTGAGCCGGAAGTGTTGAAGGAGCSTTTTTTTAATGCCTTCATAATTTTCAGAATYGTGAACTGAATCATAACTACTTTGTTTTCTTTCCCTAAACCCGAAGACATGCATTTGATGGATTGTTTCTYACCATTATTATCTTATTACTAGCAGGAACGATTAATTCAGAATGAATATTTAACCGCTTCAGTGATTTTTACCCATATTCCTTTYGGTCCAGTCGCGTAGGCTTGAGTCGATCGACGACAACGTTTTTGGAATTGACTGTATACCATCAACACTACCATCACCATTATTATTTTATCGCCATTATCATTAAAATTGTTATTAACAATAATAATATTATTCAAATAACAATGTAAAATATATGCCATTATAAGCATTCAAAATTTGCAGACATCATGAAAACACGGCTGATAGAGTCGATGATGCAAGTATACCAAAATGTACCCCACCCACCCCCCTCCCCTCTTGCCAGGTTTTCTTAGCTCTCAAGTCTGATGTTCTGAGGAACCCTTACTAATTTTTTTCCATGAATTAATAAATTATTGATCATCTTTAATAATTTATATCATGCTTATGCAACTATCAGCGGCTTCCCCGTGGGGTCGACCCCCGGGCTGTCCAAGGAGATGGGTGGAAGAATATAGGAGGATTGAATCCAGTTATTCCCCCTGGGGTTGGGAAAATTTGCGACATTGGTTTCGTGGCTAAAAACTGAGGTGGGGGATTGTAATGAAATTATTTTCATTGCGGAGGTTACCAGGGGGATTGATTTTCCTCTCTAGTTAAAGAAATAGCTCCTATTTTTAAAATTTTGAGACCACGGACGTTTTTGGTCGGGCTGGGTTACCTGTGTTATTTGCCAATACCCAGATGCATCTCTGCTCGTCAAGATGGCTGACGAGGTGAGAGAATTCAACTGTGAAGTATGTTTTTTGACATTCTTTGTTGTTTAATAGATAYGAATTCGAAGGCAACTTGATTTTTTTTACTTTTAAATGTAAATTCTTCAATTCATGACAGTTTTTTTTTYTTCAATCTTTTCAATGAAAAACTACCTGAAATATCGAGCAAACCRCACGGGTTACGCGTTGAGTTCAGTTTTCAAAATACAATAACAATAATTTCAACCAAAATGAAGGAGATTGTCGATTTGAATGCTTCGACCAGGGGACATTGAAAAGAACAACTTCCCTACCCCTGGGAAAAATGATCAACATTGTTTATGAATTTTTACAATCTCCCTGGTCAGCCCGGGGGTCGACCCCACGGGGAAGCCGCTGATAGGTGCATTAATTACTTTGTCTCATGGGTGTCAATGTCATTGAAGAGCTTTTTGAGGTCTTCAGTTGAAAGAATTCCATCGCTGAAGAAAGCTGTAAATTCTGACAATGACAGGGCTCCATCATCTGTAATTCAAAACACCAGTGCATGGTTAAAAATCTTTGAAAAATCCTTAAAGAATTATTACTGTGAATTCAGTCGTTTACAAGGTGTTGAATATAATAATCGAGTTTATAGAGTATTTAGTTAACTGTTTTTTGGAAAATATTGAAACATAATTCAATATTCGTTTTAGCTGAAAAGTAAGTGTATTTTACTGATTCTTGGTCGTTTTATAACTGTGAAAATAATCAAAACAGTTGACAAAGGGTCGTAGCAATAAATCGCTCTTACCATTTTTATCGGCTCTTCGAAATACCTGCAAAAAGAATACGAATAGCAGGCTCTTTAAGCAACCAATATAAAATGGAAAATAGAGCATAAAAAATGCAAAACTATGCACTTGCTATCAAGGCTCAATGTGAACAAATACTTACATCAAGGAAGATAGATTTTCCTTTTTCTTCAGCAGTAGCTTCGGCCATGTTGCAAACAAACTGACAGAAGGGGACAGAGTTACTTGAGAGCTTTGCAGTATTCCAAGTTCGGAAAGTCTCGGAAACTTTCGGACATTCTCGTTACACGCCTAAGCTCACCGATGCCTCGCCGATACTGTACCGATGCTACGCCGATACACCGACAGTCTTATGAAGGAATCCGATTCATTTACGAGAGGGTCCGAACATCTAAATGTCAAACATGGACGACGAGGAAGAASTGCGTAAAGATGCCCCTTCTGTTTTACCAATAGATCGCAGAACAATCCATCAAATATGCTCAGGACAGGTTGTACTGAATCTCGCTACGGCAATGAAGGAGTTGTTGGAAAACAGTTTAGACGCGGGCGCTAAGAGTGTTGATATCAAGCTCAAAGAAAATGGCGCGGAATTGATTGAGGTCTCGGACGATGGCCATGGGGTAGAACCTCAAAATTTTGAAGCTTTGACGCTAAAGCACCACACGTCAAAGATCAGAGACTTTTCTGACTTAAGTGCAGTGGAAACTTTTGGTTTTAGAGGAGAAGCTTTGAGCTCGCTTTGTGCTTTGAGGTATCTAGAAGATTTTGTAGATGGGGGAGGGGTGGGTAGGTTCACATTATATTTTCTGTGACCTACATAAAACTTTCGTCCCTGTTCATCAAATCCCATGCCAATTACAGCTATTTAATACTCTAGTTATAAATTATATTTCATCGCTTTAGGTATTTTTTTAGAATATTACCCTGTTCCAATTGCCCTATTTCACTATGACGTCACTGCTTGTTTATGTGGGGGATAGAATCGCCAAATCCAATAGAAAATTCAACAAAATTTACTCCTAGCGAAACAGTTTAATCTAAAATGGCCTGGTTTTTCAGATATAATATGTGTTAATATGTACTAAAAAATATTCTGAGYGTTTGCTGGCTWTTMTACTTCTCTTCATGGATTGRTACGGGTTTTAGAACAATYTTAGGTGAATKTGCATTGATTTGACCCCRTMCGACGACCATGATCCTTTGCSTTTAAACGATAGATTGTKGAATRTTGTTTTGATGTGACGTCATAGTGAAATAGGGCAATTAAATTTATGGAATAGGATGTTTGCATGATGGCGTCATTTGACTCCCACTACCATAATGCTTGGTGAATTTTCTTTTTTATT